TGGGGAGAGGCTGCCTTCTCTCTCCGGTGCGGGTTGCTGTTTTCCTTGGCGTTGAGGGAAGGGCTGCGTGACCAAAACACGCCTTCCCGGGAGAGCGGCTTGTTGTGAAGAGGGCCGTCGTGGCCCCAGGCGGGCTCCCTGGTGATTCCTCTGCTAGAGGACTCTTGCCAGGGAAAAGAAAGCCGGCCTGCAGGAAGAGAAGCCGCACAGGAGCCCGTCTGAGCCAAGGCCTTGCTCGAAGGCCTCGAGCGTCCCGCTGTAGCTCTCGGTTTGCATCCCTGCCAGGTGATGCTGAAGTACTGGAAGGGGCGATAGCGCTTTGTGGACCAAACCCAGGGTTGGTGGGGTTTTGGGTGGGGGCGTCCCAGCGCTTGGGGTGTTTCTGGCCCAGAGCTTCCAGAAAAGGCTTGGCCTAAGCAGTAAGCAGGAAGTTATCCTGCGTTCACAGCTGTTGTTGAGGACTTCTTGAAGCTCACAGGGAACTGGTGAGTTGGAAGAAACTGAGTTATTACTTAGTCTGAACATGTTCCCTAAGAGCGCAGCACACCTAGACCTTTGGCTCTTCAGCAGTCAAAGGCGCTTTGGCTCACGGGTCGTGCCGAGGTGACGGCTCCATACGGAGGGGAAGGCTGTTTGGCTCTCCTGGAGGATGACCTGCGGTTCAGCTGTTAGTTTACTGTGCGTTGGTGGAACTGCTGAAGAGACGTTGGCATTTTCTTCGTGTGAACTCAGAGGGCCACCTTTCTGGCCGTACCAGTCTGGCAGCTTTTAACTGTATGACGATTTGTGTATGTGGCACTTCAGGTCAGGAAGTTGGACAACATTGATTTACACCATTTCTAACAGGTGTGCGTCTAACCTGCTCTGAAGAACCTTCAATTCAAGCTGATTGTGCAGTACACCAAATCTGGTTTTCATATTTCATGAACTTTCTAAATATTTTCCTGAAATCCAAAATTAAGCTTATTTTGTTATTACCTTTTCTTCTGTGAACACAGCAGACAAATGATTGCCATGAAAGGAAAGGCAGTCCTTTACATATTATGAAAGTTTTATCTACATTGCTTTTCCACATGAAAAATTAATGTTTTCAACCTTCCTTCATCCATCATTTGTTTGCTCCTTTTTTTTCTCTCATCTGTACCTCTCCCACTTTCTCAACATTATTTGTAAAGTGGGGAGTCAAAACAGGAGTTCTCATGTGTCCGTGACACCAGCCTCATTACCCTAAAATGACATCACGTGAGTATCTCCAGCACTGGATGAACTACAGTCTTGCTCCGTGCTGAATGTGATTTTGCTTTTTTTGCAACAGCGTCTCAAGAAGTTTGCTTTTCGTCCTAGATCCCTATCCTGTCATGACGTTATTTAGCCAGTTACTACCCAAATGTCTCTATACATTTGATATCTACTTACTAAGCATTGCATTTCCTTTTACTAAATCTAGCTGTTTTGATCACGTCCGCTCAGTTCGTCAAGAATATTTGAATTTTTTTGTCATTCCATCCCAGCCATTCCGTTACCCAGGTTACTCATGAAAATATTGAATAGGTCCTGGACAGGACAGAGCTCTGGAAAGCCACATGTGACATGTTCTTTTAGTTTAAAAACCCTTTATAATTGATTTTTTAGCCTTATGTGTACTTCATAGTGATTTCTTCTGTTGCATTTTACTTAGTTTGTTTTTAAGAAAGTGATGCAGAAGAGTATCAAAAGCCTTCCTGAAGTCCAGTTGTGTCACACTCACTTCTTCCTTTTTGCCGTGTAGCTTGTCAGAGAAGGACAACCAAATTGGGTTGGTTTGATCATTGGCTATTCTTGAGAAATCCATCCTGTCTCTTTATCACTTATTTTTTACAACCTGTTGAACTTTGTTCATTAAAGCTTTTTTCCTTTTTTTTTTTTTTTGATGAAGCTGATCATATTGCATAACTTAGTTTTCCTCAGTCAGTAAGTTATATTTGAGCAAACCAGATTGGAAACTGCGCGTGTGACTCTAAGGCATTTATCTTGGAAATCCGGGCACTTTGTCTCCACCTGAAGACATGAACTGAACAAAACTGTGTGGAAAAACTTCTTCAGCTTCTTTTGGAAGACTTGACTTTCCCCATGGGGAAAAAAAACCCCACTTCCCCATTATTTTACTTATTAGAAGTGATTGTTCTAGCAGAATTTTTCATTAACTAACAATTCCTATGTAGGATGAGTTTTCTTAGAAGAACAGGCTTTTTTGCCTCATCTGTGAAAACTAGGCTTCTGTTTTTACATAGCTGTGCATACAGGATCTGCCTCTGTCCTCCCTATCCCAATATATTTTCATAAAAATTGTCATCTGTATGGAGAAGAGTACCTAAAGGAAAATCTGTAGATGAGGTCAGTTATTAAATAAGTTCATATTGAAATGAGTCTTCTTAAGTGCTGCATCTGTAGGTAAGAACTTTATGCTACCTTTGGTTTGGTGCCCATCAACCGTGGGGCACAAAGCTACAGGGAGCCAGGCATCCTTAGGCTGCTAAGTTGACCAGATTTTATCCAGCATAAGTTGAGATTGCTGCCAACATAGATCGTGCAGCTCTGCCCCCACTAACCTGCTCTTATTTCCTGCCTCGTTCTGGCACTGTTTGTGTCATCTGTGGATCAGGGAACTGCCGTGGCTAAACTTTACATTTTTCTGTGTTATCATTCGGCCAAATGAGTTCCCTGCCCCATCTTATCCCACAGCCACATGAACTATAATGCTCCTGCCAGCTTGCTCAGATGGTTCCTGCCTCTACCCAGCCAGTCCTCACACCACAGAGAAGGTCCTGTGGTTGTGATAGCTAAAGCCCAGTCTGGAACGCCAGTCACACAGCCAGGTGTTGACTCACAGCATGAGCCCTCTCCTACGGAGCCTCTCTCTCCAAACTGGCAGGATTAAGGAGAACCACATGGACTTCTGTGTCCTTCACCATTGCCTCCACAGTCCTGTACTCACTCGTGTGATACGTTCCAGGTCTCCGGTGGTAGTAGTTGGGATTCCTGCGTGCTTGAGCCACACGGGGCATTAGTCTCTGAGGGCTGGACAAGCCCTGCCAATCTCTCCACAGCAATCTCTCTCCCAATGTAATAAGTTTCAAGTGTGTTTGCTTCACTGATGGGATTTGGTTTCTTAATTTTCTGGGAAGAGTTCTGTGGTCTTCTAGGCCACAAGTTTGACACAAGCAAAACTATCTAGAATAATTCTGATCAGAAAACGGAATTTCCATTTTGTAAAATTTCAGGTTACTGATGGGGAGAAAATACAGGTATTACAGAAGTCCAGTGAAATGGAAGGATCTCTTTAACACTACTGCTTAACAGCTTCCTAATTTGATTGACACCCTTCTATTCAGAGGGAAGTCACCCTTACCTACTTCGGCACCCTGGTGACTCAGAGAGGTAGCCAGCTTGCCTGCAGCATATAGTGGGGCAGCGGCCACTTGGCTGGCTTGCTAGCTGCTTGGCTAGTCAGAAAGTCAGCTATGATTTTGGTCAGCACTGCACAGTGAACAGATAGCCAAACCACTTCTGCTTATCCGCTCAACCTGGTGTGCTTTAAATGTTTTACGTGCGCACATTTATGCAGTATTTCAGTTACTTGGGATCCTACTGCTTGGACAGTATTTGGCAGAGGTTTGCAAGGATAACAAACACAAATTTGTTGCTTACGCTACCCCATAGTAAATACAAGCTAATTTGCTGCTGGATAAGATGACTGTATGCCTAAGTTATTCCATTCTATCAGCAGTTCCACAAATTGCAGATGCCTCCAAGTGGAGTTTAATGCAAAACTGATTTTCCTGCAAGTTGTATTTAATATTTGTTTAAATGCTATTAAGAGGCTTGTAAGTAAATAGGCATTGTGTTTGCTTAATTTTTACCTCTCATCTGTACAAATTTCTGTTATCCAGACAAATGAATATTTTACTTTTTAAGCATTAAAACATTAAGTGTTAATAGAAGGCTACCATGGACTGATTCTGAATTATTAAAAAAATTATTAGTCAATAGATATAATAGAAGCAGTAGTTATTCGATACTGAAACACAGGGTTTGCAGAGGGTTACTTTGATTATTTTAATGTTATTTTCGGTAATACGTGTTATCTATCAGTGATTTTATATAACAAGCTCTTTAGAAATATGATAATATATTTGTCTTAGGTGATAGGATTAGGATTATATTGTGGCAAATTTAGTACACTTGAGAAAACTAGAGTTTGCTCTTTGTTCTATATCATAAGTTTGAGGTTTATAGCAAGCCTTAAAGTTTGCAAGATCCTTATTACTAGTAGTACTCTTTGAGAAAGAGCCATGGAGGCATTCCAAGCTCCAGTTACTCTGCAGAGCAAACCGTTAGAGAAAAATTTTGTGTGGGAACTGAAACACAAAAGCAGAACCCTAGCATGACACTTGAACAGAACCACACTTTAATTATAATTTGCATTGTACTACTGTTTAACTGTCAGAAGTCAGTTGCTAACCTGTTATTCAATTTAGCCTAAATTTTTAAAGCGTTTCTTTGCGCTATTAGCTTATTTATACAGATGTGGAGTAGAAACTATTATTTGCTTGTATCTAGCACTTACTCAGTCTGCACTTTTTCTGAATGTTAATTTTATGCCACGCTATGTTATTTGTGAATTTTATTTAACAATTTTTTAGAAGATTAGGTTTGTATTTTACATAAGTAAGGAGGCAATATATAGTTTATTTTATTTTATTTTATTTTTATAAATGTCAAGCATCAGACCATGCCTCATGAGTATATACAGAGCAGATCCTGCAGGAAGACATTCAAGTGTATGTAAGTGTGAATGAAGGCCTGCCTCTTGGAAGATGCAATTCCAGGCCTCTGTGAAGCATAAGAAGTGAAGAGCAGTTTGTTAGCTATTGTAATTTTTCCATTATTTGTAGAAAGCATAGGATATTTTCAGGTCCTTTATATGCTACCATTGAATCCCCATCGGATGTTAAGATTAGGGACGACAGGGACGATCTGACCTATTGATAAATCCTCTAGAATTATTGTAAAGGAATGGAAATTTAAAAAAAATCACTGTGTTAAAGTAATAAAGACTTGTTAACTGATCAGTGTAGTACCTTTTCCTTTCAGGCTAGGATTCTGAGAGTGCAGTACTTTGTTGTTAGGTTCATAATGTTTTTCTTTGGCCCAGAGTTGTAGGAGCCAATGTAATGTTTTTGATGTACTGCATCAAGCAGTGGTAGTTACTGACTTTTTCTGTTATCTTTTGTGAAATTATAGCTCTTTTACTTTGATAGTGGATTATGACAACGGCCACCCAGGCCGGATTCTTTACGTCCTGTGCACAGTAACCTCTGTTCCCCTCTCTTGGTCGGTCTGATAGATTGTTATATATCTTGAATGGGCAAT